GGGGGGAAGCAAGACAGACAGACAGGCACAACAGTCAGAGAGTAAAGGGTGTCCCTTCATTTGGACCACAGCTCGGTACTCAACAGTCAGATAGTAAAGGGTGTCTCTTTATTGGGACCAGAGGATACAGTCAGAAAGTAAAGGGTGTCTCTTTATTGGGACCAGAGGATACAGTCAGAAAGTAAAGGGTGTCTCTTTATTCGGACCAGAGGATACAGTCAGAAAGTAAAGGGTGTCTCTTTATTCGGACCAGAGGATACAGTCAGAAAGTAAAGGGTGTCTCTTTATTCGGACCAGAGGAAACGAGAGCTCTGTACTCACAGGTAGAGATCTTCTGCAGCCTGGTCCTTGAACAGAGGGAAGGAAGGCAGGGGGAGGAGCCCGTTGCCTATGGGCAGAGGTCCAGTCCCGGGAAAAGGCAAGAGGCCTCCACCACCTAATGTCATACGGGACGGCTGGGACACAGCATTTCTGAAAAATAAGAAAAAGTTTTATTTGTTGAAATTTCCAATTTAATAGTTTAAACAAAAAGAGACAAAAAAAAAAAGAAAAAAAAATTTCATTGATCTTCGATAAACATGAAAAAGTCTTATTTGCTATTTTCAAGTTAGAATAAAAAAAAAAAATTCTTACAAAATTTCGTTAATAAGTAACTAGTAGAACCCTTTCAGTGCCAGCAACTGCATTTTAGTATTTGTATACCCCGCGAGTGCTAAGCACTAGATGGGAAAAATAGCAATTTTATCCTTCGGAACAAAAAGGGAAAAAAAGCAATTTTATCCTTCGGTATAAAAAGGGAAAAATAGCAATTTTATCCTTCTGTATAAAAAGGCTTGTCAAAACTTTACTTCAGCATGAAATTGTTTCCTCTTTGGAACAATAACTGAAAAACAAATGTTTTATTAGCCGAAAATCTTAAAAGCCATACACAATATTAAATGAAACGCCAGTTGATTTTTGACGATCAATGAAGTTGGTACCAAACCCTTACTTCTTCTGTCATCGAAAACGGCACTGAAAGGGTTAAGGGGCAGGACCTCAAAATTAAAAGTCCATATCCCACACCACTGAGAAGTTTTTAGTTTAGTTTTAGTAGAGGTTTTACGGCACTCGCTACTGCATAAGGTCATATGAGCGCCAAGGGGTGGATGTCAACAGAGAAGTCCTTACAGGGAATCAGCGTTACTCTGCTCACCTCTCTAGCTTCAACAGCACAAAGTCTGCTTCGACTATAAAGGCACCCCGGAAATAATGGGTCACAAGAGTGTGACAAACATACAAAAGAAGTAGAGGAAACTGACAATAGTAAGGATTAGGAAAGAGAAAGCAGCAGTTCCCTGTTGTAGATCAGGCCCAGTTATGAGCGTGACCTTGATGAATCAGCTCATTTACAATTCTACTGTGCATGAACGAGAAATGTCCCCCCTTTGGGAATGGCCTAAAGACACTTCAGTCAGTGGCACTGCCACGAGGGGTGCTGAGAAGTTCATTCAGCAAGCCTTGAAAACTCCCAGAACAACTCATGCTCAAGAATGCCTCATTAGGGGTTAAACTTGGACCACACATTACCCTAATTACCCCCCCCCCCTCCCCCCAATCTCCTCACCCCATCCCAAATCACAGAAAATTATTTCTGGCTGAGATAAAGCATTCATGGTACAAGTTCAGCATTTGCTGATGAGATTTGAAGTTTGAATAAAAAGAAGCACATCCACACAATAACAGCCATTTAGTGCTGAAGAAAAATAGAGAGATAGAGACTACAGAGGGAACACTTTTTAAAACATGTAAGAATTGAAAGGACATACTTTAACAAATATAAGCACAGTCGAAACTGCAAAAGATGGCAACACATTGTTGAGGTAAAAATAGTTGTCTTCGACAGACAGTCTTGAACAAAGCCATTATAACGTTGAAGAAAAAACCCAAGGAGGAAAGCAGGAAGTGGATGTTTGCACAAGTGATTGTCTTGGACAGTAGGCCGTGAGAGCGGGTTTGAGTGTACACTCCTGAATGACTTTTATTCACTTTCATGCAATTGTGCAAGAAGTTCATGGAGGTAAATAGGATGTACTTAAGGTGGATTTATTGAATTTTTCAGGGAAAATGGGTCTCTGTGGTGGCCATCTTGGATTTTCAAACGAGTTTCTTAGTGCAGAAGAAATTCATAGCAAAATATTGAAACTACAGCCTGAAATTTGGCACACAAGTGCAAACCTATATGGGCTGTGGATCTATGGAAGGATTTTGACCTATCTTTTAAAATAAAAAAAAGTGAGCCCAAAGTCAACGGACCCCTGAGAGTCAGTTGACGAAAATTTGAGGTATTTTTAAAGAAAAAATTTGAATATTTCCACAAGTTACCAATATTTCCAAATTTCCTCACATAGATCCCCAGAATAGACCTTAACTCTTTATCTCCGGCAAACCGCTCCCAGCGGCTGATGGTCAGAACTAACAAGTTCGCTAGTTTGGATTTAATGACCCATTTACTGACGTTGTTGTCATTTTAAGATTTAGTACCAAAAAAGGGCCCCGGCGTAGTAGGTTTACACCCCCCCCCTCCCTGGAGATATAGAGTAAAAGAACTTGTATGTCAAATTTGAAGCTCCTAGCTTCAGTAGTTTGTGAAAACTCCTTGCGTCAACGAGGTCACACAGTGTCAATAAGCAGATTTTGAGAAAAGAAAAAAAAACCCAGGAATTTTTAAAAAGATTTTTAGTTCAATATAGACTTTGCAAACGCCCGTTAAGGTCATTTAGAGTGTTTTTACAACAGTTTCACTATTGTGAACCGATAGAACAAACGTCAAAGGATGTTTTTCTGCAAAAAGAAAAAAATCGATATTTTGAAAATTTTTATCGATATTCTTTGGGATCACCGACCCACGTTTTCCTTTAAATATAATTTCCTACCCATCTTCATCCAGGGAGTGGGCCCCGAACAACTCCTTCCCATCATCCCCGGCGTATTGGAAGTCCACCTGCAGGACCTGTTTACCGCTCTTGTCTTTCTTCTTCTTCACCTTACTCGACTTCTGCTTGCCCTGGACGGGAGAAGAATACATTGGTAGAAGTTTTACAGATACAATTGAGAAAAGGTGCTGGTCACCTCACCAGCCAGCCTCGAGAGCCTACAACACCAAACATTCAGGCTATAAAGGAAGAGGAAGGCCACGCAAAAGGTGGATCGAGGGTGTCAAGGAAACCCTAAGATAATATAATATCACAACTGAAAGAGCTGCGGAGCTGGCCTACCATAGAAAACTGCATCTCCCCTCGACGTTTAGCAGCAACAGAGGATGAACGAGTAGCAGTAAAAACTTAAGTAAATGAGAAAATATTTTATTTATTTAAAGTAAGTGTTTTACAGCATTTGCAACACAATAAGGTCATATAAGTGCTGAAGATTAGAGGTGTTACAAGAGAGTAACAAACACAAAATGGGGGCTCTCGTGGCCTAGAGGTTAAGGTGTTGGCCTCTCATTCAAAAGGTCCTGGGTTAGAATCCGGGTAGCGACCGACAAATTTTCTTCTCTAAATTTGTCTCCTTTCACTTCATTTCCTGCTCTCTGGCAATGTTCTGTCATCTGCTTTCGTCTCCTCTTTCTGCCCCCACCCCCTCACCTCCTTTGCCCCTTCCTCTGGGCTCCTGATTCTTTCTGCAGCCTTTCTACTGCTACTCCTTCGCTTCTTCTTACTGCTGTCTTTCTGCCACACCCCTGATCTTCTGGTAGGAAAGATCTACACCTAGCCTTCTCGGGCAAGGGCGAAAAATCTCAAAGGGCCCGTGTGCAAGTTGCGCACGTTTAAGATCCCCTGGTGGTCTAAAATTGATAAGAGTAGGCTTTGGCCGCCATCCGGGCAAAATTCAAAATTTCCTACCAACTGAAAATATTAGGTGTGTCCCACGCGCTCATATGACCTTATGAAGTTGCGAGCGCCGTAAAACACTTTTCAAAAACAAACAAAAACACAAAATAGAAATAGGGGAGAAAAGGACGACAGATTTTTCAATAGGAGAGAAGGAGCAAACCGCACCAGAGCACCCGCCAACCACCCACATTAATATAACAGATGGGGCCCTGGAGAGTACACAAGAGGCCCCCACCACCCATTGGCTTAGGGCATGGCTAGGACACTATCTCTGACAAGAAATGTTTCACTTTGTCATTTCAATTTAATTTTTAAAAAATTTTTAGTAACAGTTTTACGGCATTTGCAACACATTGAGGTAATATAAGTGCCGAAGATTATAGGTGTTTCAAGAGAGATAGTTTCAGTTTTAGTAGCAGTGCTCGCAACTGCATAAGGTCATATGGAGAAAAACACGACTTGAAGTGCATAAGGGAATATTTATTACTATGAAGAATTCTGTTAGTAAAATGATTACCAAAGCCAAGCGTACTTTCTTTTTGTCAAAATTTGAAAATGTTAAAACTTGTAAGGAACTTTTTGATGTCTCTAGTGAACTGCTTGGCAACCAAAACAGAACAATATTACCCCCTGGCACCGATAGAGATCTTTGTAGTAGTTTTTCAGACTTTTTTTCTTAAAAAATCACCTCCATCAGACAAGAGTGCCCCAAATTACCATCAGTTTAAAGGGCTAGTCATCGATTATTTTACTCCAGCAACGGAAGAAGAAATCAAAAAGATCATATTAGATAGTCCATCAAAAAGTTGCGCCTTAGACCCCATGCCCACCAGCCTTTTAAAAAAATGTTTGCATGAACTTCTTCCACATATCACCCAAATTGTAAATGATTCTCTCCTCACAGGCACAGTACCAAATTGCTTTAAGACAGCACATATTAGACCCCTTTTGAAAAAATCTGGACTTGATGAAAAGGACTTTAAAAATTTTAGACCTGTTTCAAATCTTTCTTTCCTTTCCAAAATTCTGGAAACAGTTGTATCTAATAGACTGTTACATCATATTAAAGCAAATAATCTTAGCGAAGTCTATCAGTCAGCATATAAGGCACACCATAGTACCGAGACAGCGTTACTAAGGGTCTGTACTGATATTTTAAAATATATTGATGAAAAAAAGGTATGTCTTCTTACTCTTTTGGACCTTTCGGCTGCATTCGATACCATTGATCATGACATTTTACTTGAGAGATTAAATACTACTTTTGGCATAAAGGGTACTGTCTTGCGATGGTTTGAGTCATATTTTAAGGATCGAACACAAGCAGTTGTGGTTGGAAACACGTGTTCTAATAATGTTTTGCTTAGATGTGGTGTTCCTCAGGGGTCTGTTCTTGGACCTGTCTTGTTTACAATGTATACACAACCTATTGCTGATATTTTAATTAAGACAATATGGCACGAATTACCATCTTCATGCTGATGACACTCAAATTTATAAGTCTATTGATTTCGATCAAATACCACTTTTAGTCGACTCTACTGAACAATGTACTAGAGATTTAAAAATATGGATGACCAGCAATAAATTGAATCTAAATGATGACACGACGGAAATAATGTTAAGTGGAAATACAAAAGCCATTAAAAATCTCCCAGAGCTACAAATTGATATTAATAACCATACCATTCGTTCAAAAAGAAATCTTAAAAATCTAGGGGGTTCAGTTGGATTATGATATGTCTATGTCCTCCCAAATAAGCCAGCTCAGCCAAAGTATTTACTTTCAGCTTAAGAAAATTGGCAGTGTAAGAAATTATTTAACTAAAGCAGCAGCCAAGACACTTGTAACAACACTCATTTTATCAAAGTTAGATTACTGTAATGTTATTTTGTCCGGTTTGACATCCGAAAAACTATCAAAGTTACAAGTACTCCAAAATCAAGCAGCAAAATTGATAATGAGACAAAAGAAATCAGCCCACGTAACACCAATTCTGAAAGAACTACACTGGCTGCCAATAAAAGAAAGGATTAAATACAAAACTGCCGTTCTGTTTTAAATGTATAAATGATAGTGCACCTTTTTATCTTAAAACATTCCTGGAATTATATAATCCACCTAGAGCCCTTAGATCAGCCTCTGACAATCTAATTCTTAAAACTCCAAAACAAAATTACAAAACATACGGCGAGCGTTCCTTTTTGTTCTTTGGTCCCCAGGTATGGAACGAACTCCCATATAAAATAAGATCTGCCCCAAAAATTTCCATTTTCAAAAATCAGCTGAAGCATTCACAAAAGCATACCTGTCATAATGATGTACTGTGATATATATGCATGTGTATGCCAGACTGTGAGACTGAAGAAATAGCGAGTGAGAATGAGAGAGAGAAAAAGAGAGAGATAGAGAGAGAAAAGAGAGAGATAGCGAGAGAGGGAGAGAGAAAGAGAGAGAGAGATAGAGGGAGAGGGAGAGAGAGAGAGAGAAGGAGAGAGAGAGAGAGAGAGAGAGAGAGAGAGAGAGAGAGGAGAGAGAGGGAGAGAGAGAGATAGAACAGAAATGTTTTTCTATCTGTATAGAATTAATGTTTTAATGAATGTTTCTAGTTACTCACGTTTCAACTTTATTTTGACTGTTCGTGAATTTTTATTGCATTGTATATTTTTAGTGAACACATTTTCAACCTCACTGCGAGACTGTTTTTCTGGTATAAAATTTTACACATATGCATTTATATTATATGTATAATACTTTGTTTTACGTACACATTTGTGTCGATTAATTTTTAAGATGTGATGTCTTTTTCATTGTAATGCGCATTGAGCATCTTTTAGGAAATGGAAATGCGCAGTATAAATGCTATTTATTATTATTATTATTATATGAGCCCCAGAAGATTGGAGGTGTTACAAGAGAGTAACAAACATAAAAAAGAAGAAGGGGAGATAAGGACGATAGATGTTTGATAGGAAAGAAGGACAAAAACAAAATAAGAACACTTGATAGCTTCAAAGACATAATAAACATTTTCTGTTCCTACAGGCCTATTCTTCATAAGCTTTTAACGTTATCTTTCATTATATTTGTTCTGTTCCTATGTCTGGATGAAAATAGCCTCTGTGTGTGTGATTGTGTGTGTGTGTGTGTGTGTGTGTATGTGTGTGTGCATTAATGTATATTGCTTGAGAAGAAAGGAAGTAGTAAGAAAGGTTTTTGAAAAATGGGTATTCCAATGTAAAGCGCATTGAGCTACTTTTTTGGAAATGCGCTATATAAATGTTATATATTATTATTATTATTTTTATTATTAAAAACCACACCAGAGCACCCGCCAACCCACCCACATTTCAATTTAAAAGTTAAAAAACCGAAAAACCCCCCAACAAACACAGATGTCCAACAGGTAAGAAACAAAAACCCTTAACTTTTCACACCCGAGGAAACCCATGTGCAGGGACTCAAAACTTACTCACTATTGTCTGTTACATCTTGTATTCAGAAAGAAGCCAGGCAAAACCCGGGCAATTTCAGATATTTAGATTTCAGGATTTATTTGTCCAATTTTTGGGTCACACTCATCGCAAGGAAAAGGGGAGAACACCTTGAAAATTGTACCTGTAACTGTAAATGTGTCATGACACGGTGGAATCAGGCGCTCGTCAATTTTGGGGCATATGGAGATATTGGTATCATCTTAAAGCTTTTCATTTGTTTTGCTTTCAATGTAAAAATTAACCATCTATCTTTAATAGAAGTCGAGATATTTGCAACTGAAAGAGGTGGGGTGAGCCTGGTTTTGGTGGTAAAAATAGAGAGGAAATGGCTGCAAAAATTTGATGAATTCCATAGCTAGAGAGCCCAAGGAAACTAAAAATTTACATTTTTTCGCCATTAATCGACGTCTCTCAGTAAAATTCACACAGATTCTATAGAGTAAAGTAGGGTGTCGCGTCCACCTGGTCTATGCGTCCACTCACTGTATTTCGTTATTCACCGGTGTTGGATCGATTCCGGTCGTGTAATTAAAAAGTATAAGCAGTTTCCGTTTCATTTCACATTTTACTTTCGTTTTTTACACTCGGTAAGTCACCATTTTCTGGTAATTAAAAATTTGTCTTCTTCATTAGCGAGTTACACTAGCGGAGACGCTTATTTGTTAGTCGGTTTCTTGGCAACTAACGAACTTCAAGCGCCCTTACTTGCTTTTATTAGCCTTTACAAAGGTTCTAAAATATAAGTTTATCCATTGTGCCATTCAACAAGGGAAATTTGAGCCACGAGGGGGGTGGACGTGCTCACCATACCAAGTTTTAGTATAGTCTGGTCACGCGTCCATGGGTAGCGGCACTCACCGACGGAGTAGATTCAGTATGGTGAATGAGTTCACATCCTGTACAAATGCATAAATGTCATTCACTCAGCCACCTGAGACATCTATTACCAATCAAAGGTTTATTTTTCTGAAATTTTTGTTTTTTAAAATCCCATTAGATGAAGAGATCTAGATTTAGTTCGTCTACATTATTTATTTGTTTGTTTTTGTAACATTAAAACCCCCCAAACAAAAGTCTTTCATGTCTAGATGGCCCTCCCTTAGTGGCAATGACTATGTGAAATGTGCTGACAAAAGATCTTACTGGCAAAAACCCGAGAAGTGCATGCCCACTATTTCATCACCCCTTTGTACTTACCATCCATCCACCTATTTTGAATACATAAATTTACTTGCATTTGAATGACTAAACATTACAAACTAAAATTTTTAATAAATCTACATAGATCTAGTACAAAGATATTTGGTTGTAAATTAATAAATAGAGTCTACATGTAAATGTTTTTTGTTACTTTATCTAAAGTCAATGTTAATAAATGAAATGTCTTAACATAGGTCTAAAGGTTTTATTCATTTTTATTTCTTACATAATGAAGAATGAGTGAGTGGATAATAATAGGATGAAGAATGACAGACTGGGTGAACATAGATCTAGATTCTATGTTTAAACATCATTTATTTCTAATATTATAAAGAATTAGGGGGTGATGGCACTGACCAGACCTAGTGGACGCATTCACCAGCTAAGTGGATGCGTCACCAGACCAAAGTGGACGCATTAAAATGCTATGTAGAAGTCTATTAAGCATACAGAGATGATAACTAAGTCTGGTGAAGCGCACAATTCTGTCGATCACGCCGATACTTTCAAAATTTGGATCGATACGAAAATAGCCGAATTATGGCTTTCTAAAGGCCTTAAGGTGGACGCACACCTGACTTTACTCTATGTGTTTTAAATGTACAGGAAAGATGTGTAGCAAAAAAATGACACATTTTCTTCTTCCCCTCTGCCTGTCAGGGACTACCCAGCCTGTGAGGGATACAACATCCAGGCAGACAGATGGAGATACTGGATTTTTAGTTATAGTAAGTATTTTACGGCACTTGCAACACAATAAGGTCATATAAGTGCTGAAGATTAGAGGTGTTACAAGAGAGTAACAAACACAAAAGAGAAGGAGGGTATGACAATAGATGTTTGATAGGAAAGAAGAAGCAAACCACACTACAGCACCTGCCAACCACCCACCTGGGTGGCTGTCTTGGACAATTTTGATTGGAAATCATGACAGGGGTGGGGGAATAGCCCATATAAATCAGCGTTTTCTCTTACCTCCAGCAGCACCTCCATCTCGTCTTTCCTCAGCTCCACCAGTTTCTCCGACTCTATCAGGACTGGTTGTGGCTCAACTGTAAGAGGAGGGGTGAATTTGAGTGATTTGTTTTAGTAGAGGTTTTACGGCGCTCGCAACTGCATAAGGTCATATGAGCGTCAGAAGATTAGAGTCGTTACAAGAGAGTAACAAACATGAAAAAGAAGAAGGGGAGATAAAGACGATAGATGTTTGATAGGAAAGAAGAAGCAAACCACACCAGAGAACATGCCAACCGCCCACTTGAATTCGAGTGAAGAGAAGTACATGGGCACAATATCCGTCATTAAGTGAAGGGAGCAACAAAGATATACTGACAGAAACAACAGAGGGAAAGAAAAGTTGTGCCTTCCAATATACATGGTTTAAAAATAGCCGTCATTGCAACCAAACTTCCTCTCACAAACTTCAATAAAAAGATTAATGTTAATGTAAATTCTACTTACAAACTTTTAGACTTTGCCACTGTCTAACCCATTGCAGCCCCAGAAAAATGTGTTAAAGAATATCAGTAACTCAGTAGTATAATATGAATAAGTAGTAACTCAATAGTATAATATGAATAAGTGCCAAAGATTAGAGGTGTTTCAAGAGAGTATCAAATTGACACCACGTGGTACCACCTCTGGAAAGGTGCTTATACCAAGAGATTAGCACAGTAAGTGATGTGCCCTTGGAAATAAAGCTCCAGTTACTGTGCAGTGAAGAAGCTGTAACATCAGATGCACAGCCCAAAGCACTAGGTTACCTTGATACATGACATCAAGTTCAAAATTGACAAAAATTTAAAAATAAAATTGTGTTTGAAATATTGCATCAAATGAGGCTCATCTCGAACAACTTTGCTTATATTTATATTTTGATGTGCAGATTCCTGAAAATAAAATAAGATTTTAACCGCCATGATTATTTATTAAAATTTACTCGCAAAGTTCAATCCTTCATGACGGGAAATTTCCAAGGGGTTCTGTGTCCCACATTGTCTAGTATGACATAGACATAGATCACGTTTGACATCTTTCAACACTCTTCCCCCACACTCCAGGAACATTTTTAGAAATAACCAACGCCCAGTGAAATATGCTGGGGGAGGGGTATGGAGAGGGGCTGATAGAAAGAGAGATGCAGCAGGTAAGCAACTAGACACAAAGAGCTTCTGACGTCATCTATTCCCAGTCTTAAGAATTTCACCAGTACCACCCACCACTAATATTCAAACTTTCAAAAACTTATCAGAAATCCTTTTTGCAAACTAGTTGGCAGCTATGCATATGTAACAAACTTCTAAGCTGTAACCAGACCAAAAAATAAAATATAAAAACTAACTGAACGAGTTGAGAAGGTTTGAACCACATACCCTCCACATCTTTTTTCACCACAGCAGGACTCTCCTCTACCTCCGTCTTGGCCAGTTTCGCCTCTTCCTTCTTCTGCCTCTTTACCTTCTTCCGTTCCATCTTTTTCCTCAGTTTCTCTGGGCTGGGGACATTTTAAAAGAACACTGATATATGGTAATCACTTTAAGTGAGGGGACTTGATAGCTTAACAGGTATGGTGTTCAAATGTCAATCCGGATGTCCGGAGTTTGATCCCCAACAGCGTCAGGATTTTCCCCATGTTTTCTACACTCTCTGATCCTAGGGTAAATAGAATCGAGCACCTAGACTTCTCAGACAAGGATGAAAAATTTCAGAGGTCCTGCGTAGACGGTTCGCACTTTAAAGATCCCTAGTGATGGTGAAAGTGAAAAGAGGAGGCAAAGTTCAAAACTATTTCCCACTCAAACCTGGAAGCCACTATGAAGAGTGCATTCGAAAATAGAATGTAGATGCCTGTCGGGCAAGGTATTTTAGTTTTAGTAAAGGTTTTACGGTGCTGGCAACTGCATAAAGTCATATGAGCGTCAGAAGATCAGAGGCGTTACAAGAGAGTAACCATAGCTGCCACTCAGGAATTTTAAAAAAGGAGGAAATTCACGCGAAGGCGTATGCCCGCTCTCCGAAGGCCAGAGTAAAACCAGTGAGATCCAGAGGCAATATACTGGAAAATCTAGCCTACGGTTTTGGAAGGGAAAACTGTCATATTTGTTAACCATAGACAACTGAATTAAAATGTATTTGAACCCCCCCCCCAAAAAACCCACAAAAACAAAGGCAGTAAGTTGACTAACAAGCATTTGAGTCAATTTGACACAGTTTGGACTTGGTGACTAAAAATCCAGTGTTTGTTGCCAGCTGGTGTCTCATAAAAAGATTTCTTTCACTTTAAACTTGTACATCGATGTAGAGCAGTATTGGATCAGGGAGGCAACACTTTTGCTGCTGTATTGAGCGATTTCGGCACTCCTGTACATTTGCGGTCCTGTTTGCACTTGACTTACTGCCCCTGTAATGTGTTTCTTATTTAGATCTAGTGATCTAAACTGAATTAAAATTATAGCCAAGGCTATCCAATCTAGATCTTGAATCTAGATATCTAGAATATGTGTAGACCTAGATTATATCTAGAGATAGATTATCTAGATCTAGGTTCACTTTCACAGTCACAATAGCCGTCATGTAAACAAATGGGACCGCAATTGTACAGGAGTGCCGGGGCCGCGATTTCTTTAGCGCACCAAACGCAGCAAAGTGCAGCAAGCGGCTAGTTCAATTTTCTAATGAACTTTTCAAGTCGCACACCGGCTGCTTCTTTCTTTCTCATTCCAGCTCCTTTTATTTTTGCATTCTGCATCAATTTCTCTCAAATTTCCGCCGTTTTCAATGGCAACTCGGCGCGTCAACGTCCCGATGCCCAATCGAAACTATGTTGCTCCACAACAATAAACAATGTGAAACTAGCGCTAGGCATAGAAGAATGGAAGTAGAAAGCTACAGGCGGACATGCGCAAGCCGCGTTTTCATCTCTCTCCCGGTTCGGTGTTTTCCGCGTGTAAAAAAAAAGTATCACAATTTGCGAGCGAGAGCGGTCCAGCGGAGGAAGGAGGAACGTAGCGGGAAAAGCTAGATGAAACGGAGTTTCCGCTATTTAGCGGGGAAGTGGCAGCTATGAGTAACAAACGTAAGAAAGAAGAAGGATAGATAAGGACGATAGATGTTTGATAGAAAAGAAGAAGAAAACCACACCAGAGCACCCGCCAACCACCCACTTTCGCACATTAAAGATCCCTAGTGATGATGAAAGTGAAAAGAGGAGGCAAAGTTAAAAATTATTTCCTACTCAAACCTGGAAGCCACTATGAAGAGTACATTCGAAAACACCATGTAGCTGCTGGTCAGGCAAGGTACGAGTCTATCATCTATATACAAAAAAACAGCTATGAATGTAAAAATCAACTGCACTACGAGATGAAGATGTTACAGTCAGTAACCCCTGGGCACAACCAGAGGTACGCAGAAGAAGAAGAAGCTTGGGTCCCACAAAACTGTTTATTTTGTTTTTGTTTTTGTAAAGCGTTTTACGGCGCTCACAACTGCATAAGGTCATATGAGCGCGCGGGACACACCTAATATTTTCAGTTGGTAGGAAATTTTGAATTTTACCCGTGTGGCGGCCGAAGCCTACTCTTATCGATTTTAGACCGCCAAGGGATCTTTAACATGCGCAACTTGCACACAGGCCCTCTGAGATTTTTCGCCCTTGTCCGAGAAGGCTAGGTGTAGATCTTTCCTACCAGAATATCAGGGGTGTGGCAGAAAGACAGAGGTAAGGAGGAGCCAAGGAGTAGCAGTAGAAAGGCTGCAGAAAGAGTCAGGAGCCCAGAGGAGGGGGCAAAGGAGGTGAGGGGGTGGGGGCAGAAAGTGGAAATGAAAGCAGACAACAGAACATTGCAAGAGAGCAGGAAAGAAGGTGAAAGGAGACAATTTTAGAGAAGAAAATTTTTCGGTCGCTACCCGAATTCGAACCCGGGACCTTTGAATGAGAGGCCAACACATTAACCTCTAGGCCACGAGAGCCCTCAAACTGTTTATTTGAGTAAAGAAAGTAAAAGGAAAAAAACCAACTCAAAACTGGAAGCCACTATGAAGAGTACATTCGAAAACAGCATGTAGCTGCCGATCAGGCGAGGTTCGAGTCTATCATCTAAAAAGAAAAAAACAGCCATGAATGTAAAACTATAACAAAGCACAACAGAAACAATATCAATAGAAATACCAAAAAAAGCAATAACAACAAAGGAAACACTCACTTGTCAGACCTGACCTTGACCCTCGGGGCGGGGTCGGCTACCTTATCCTGCCAGGTCCGCTGGGACAGAATCTTGACCGGCCTGTCACTGTCCACTTTGTGGATGTACACGGCCCGGATCACTCCCCAGCAGTCCGGCGTGGGGCACCGAGTATCCACCACATCCTGCTCAGGACAAAATTGTTTTAGTAAGTTTTATGGCACTTGCAACGCAATAAGGTCATATAGGTGATGCAGATATTGTTTTAGTAGATGTTTAACGGCGCTCACAACTGCATACAGTCATATGAGCGCCAGAAGATTAGAGGTGTTACAAGAGAGTAACAAACATAAAAAAGAAGAAGGGAAGATAAGGACGATAGATGACTCATAGGAAAGAAGAAGCAAACCACACCAGAGCACCTACCAACCACCCACCTTAGTAAGTTTTACGGCACTTGCAACGCAATAAGGTGATGCAAATATTACAAGAGAGTAACATTATCAAACACAATAAAAGAAGGAAGAGAGATAATGGTGATAGACGTTTGATAAAAAGAGAAGGAAACCACACCTGAGCACTCACCAATCACCTGCACTCAGGAGAAAATGATGGCTGTTTTGACCCTGAGAGACAGCGAGAGAGCAAGAGGAGAGAAGAAAGATAGTGAGAGAACGAGGACAGGGGATGAAGAGAGGGTGGGGAGAGAGAGGGACAGAGAGAGAGAGAGAGAGAGAGAGAGAGAGAGAGAGAGACAGACAGACAGACAGACAGACAGACAGACAGACAGACAGAGAAAATGAGGGGCATGCCAAGAGACAGAGAGAGAAAGAGAAATAATAGTGATAGTTCCATTATAATCTTATCACTTGACAAGAAAAAAGGAAAAGGAAAAGAAAAACTAATTCTGCGACATTCTAGTCTGATCGGGGCACAAAAAAATGCGAGCATAAATGGCAACAACAAAAATTAATCAGACCAAACTCTGAATTGAACTTTGAACCTTTGCACAGCATGGTCAAACCTGTACCCAACTTACTCCACCCACCTGACACAAAACTACGGCTGCAGTTAATCAACCTTAGTCTTCAGCGTGGTGAAATCAGGCGCTCGCCAAAACAGTCAAAGTGAAAAAACTGGCATTTTTCCGAAGGTTTGGAAATTTTTATACAATTTTGGTTTTTTGGCTCAACACCTTTCATGCCCATTAAAGAACACATTACTGTGTGGATTTTACTGAAAAACGTTGATTAAAGGTACAAAAAATGTAAATTTTCAGTTTCCACGGACTCTCAAGCTCAGGAAATAACTAATATTTAGCTGCCGTTTTCTCATTAATGTTACCTCTGAAACCAGGCGACCCCATCTCCTTCATTCATAAATATCTCGACCTCCATTCAAGATAAATGGATATTTTTTCATCCAAAGCAAAACAAATGAACAAGCTTTAAGATGATACCAATAACTTTATGTCCAAAAATTGACAAGAGCCTGATTCCAGCGTGTCGTGACACGTTTAGTGCATAACTTTCGTAGGGTTGGCCTGTAGTCTCAACCAAACCGAACAGCTCACCTTATCCTTCACCTTGCCCTCCAGCCTGGCCTTGAACATCTTCCAACACGTAGCATGCAACTCCAAACAGCAGTTGGCAAAACACAGCAGACGCACATGACCCTGAAACATCACAAAAATCGAGTTAAAAAATAAACCAGAGATGTTCGATAGGAAAGAAGAAGCAAACCACACCAAAGCACCCATTTGTGGCATATAGGTTTCTTGAACTGTATCAAAGAATAATTTATCTATTTCTTTCTGAATCTATTTTTATGCATGTGTCCTCCCTCCCCCCTGAATAAAAAACAACAAAAATCCATTTTTAAAAATCACCAAACACACAAACACATCCATTACCCTGTAATCTGGGTCAGACATGTAAATATTGCGACGCAGCTCCTCCGCGTCAAAGTGCAGTCTACACACGGCATCTGGCTGCGGAGGACAAAGACACTCCTTGTAAAGCTCCTTCAGAAGCCGCTGGGAAATTGAAAAAATATTATACATGAGTGAAAAACAAAAGTACTTCACAAAAGAAAATTTAAAAAAAAAATTTTTTTTTTAAATATAAAAAAATATATATATAGAGAGAGAATCTATATATATGTATATACATAGGTGAAAACCAAAAGTATTTCACCAAAAAAAAAAAAAATTATACATGAGTGAAAAAAGAAAAAAACCAACCCAAAATAAGCCAGTGAAAATAAAAGATTTTTCTCTATTAACAAAAATTTGTAATATGCCACATCAATGAAAGCCAAAAAATATTCCACACAAAAATAAAAAATATTCAACATGACCAGTTATAACCATGGCAATAAGAAGATTTACTTTTTCCTTACATTCTTCCCCTCCTTCGTTCCCTATGACCAAAAAGATTTTCTTCTTCTTTACCCTCTTTCCCCCCCAACCAATGTCCTCTGTTTTTTAAAGTTTTAGTAGAGGTTTTACGGCGCTCGCAACAGCATAAGGTCATATGAGCACCAGAAGATTAGTGAGCACCAGAAGATTAGAGCTGTTACAAGAGAGTAACAAACACAAAAAAGAAGAAGGGGAGATAAGGATGGTAGACGTTTGATAGGAAAGAAGAAGCAAACCACACCAGAGCACACGCCAACAACCCACCACAGACAAGGACGATAGAAGTATGTTTGATAGGAAAGAAGCAGCAAACCGCACCAGAGCACCCCCCCCCCCCCCACCAAACCAATGCCCTCTCTCCCCTCCTCAGAAGTGGACTCACCTTCAGAACGGCGGGTTGCGTCTCCTGTATCACCTGGTCTGTCTGCGGCCACAGGAAGAAGTCCTCCTTCTTCGCCTTGCCCTTGACCTTGTCCAGACCCGCACGGACGGGAACCAAAGCTTCTTCAAATCTGATTGAAAAAAAAACACCAAAAAAACGTGCTTGTTTTAGAAAGAGTTTTACGGCACTCGCAACACAATGGTCATATAAATGCCGAAGATGAAAGTAGGTGTTAAAAGAGAGTAACAAACAAAAAAGAAGGAGGGGGGATAAGGACGATAGATGGTTTAATAGGAAAGAAGGAGCAAGCCACACCAGAGCTGCCATCAACCACCCACAACCCCCCCCCCCCCCCCCCAAACAAATCAGTTTTTGGTTTCAGTACAGAGAAGCACATATAGACACAGAAACAACCATTTAATGCAGAGAATGAGTAAGACAGATGGACAGACAGACAGAAACGACAGAGGGAAAGAAAAGAAAGAAAATATACCCCTCCAAAAAAGCAAAATATTTCTGCTATATAATAAGAGTAGACATGGTTCACAAATTTAACAAGCTTAAAGTAAAGATATTGAGGGTTTTTTAAAACTAGTTTGTTTTTTTTTTGGGGGGGGGGGGGGGATGTTACACCGCAGAACAACAGAGGGGAAAGAACAGAAAAAGAAATACAAAACAAAAACAACATATAGCAGACACAAACATATGGGCAAAACATAAACAGACAAAATTAACCTAAACCCCACTCTTTAAAATACTGTCTTTTTCGACCCATTTAACCCAATTTAGATCAATTAGGAAGCGAGCTGATTTGACTCTGCCTTTCAGGGCCAACACAGGGGGACTTCAGTGCTTTCTTGTCCTTTCTCCATCTTTTTTAAACATTGAAAATGTGACTTCTTCTTAGCTCATTCTTTGTTATGAATTGTTCTCACTGTTATTTCAGATGGAGATAGGACAAGAAAGCACTTAGCACTGAGACAGGCTGAGTGGGATAAAATATGCCAGTAGATAAACATAGACAGTCATGAAAATGATGTACCCACACAGGAATCGAACTCATGTCTTCTGTGCTTTTTTACTTTTAGTAGAGGTTTTACGGCGCTCACAACTGCATAAGGTCATATGAGTGCCAGAGATAAGAGGTGTTACAAGAGAGTAGCAAACATAAAAAAGTAGGGGAGATCAGGACGATAGATGTTTCATAGGAAAGAAGGAGCAAACCACACCATAGCACCCATCAACCACCCACGTCTTCTGTGCGCAAAGACAAAAGGCTTAACCATTACACAACAGGCACTGGTCTCACCTTTTCAAGCGTACGTAGGCACTACCCAAGCCATAGAAAGCAGCAAGGAAGGAATCAGAATCTTTGAGAACACCCTGGAACCTCTCTACCGCATCCAGAATATTCTGTGAAAAACAAAATTCAACAACAAATGCAAATTTTGAACCATCTTTTAGTTTAGTTTTAGTAAGAGTTTTACAGCACTTGCAACACAATAAGGTCATACAAGTGCCGAAGATTAGAGGTGTTACAAGAAAGTAACAAACACAAAAAAGGAGGGGAGATAAAGACGATAGATATTTGATAGGAACAAAGAAGCAAACCACACCAGAGCATCCGGCAACCATCCACTGAACCATTTTTTTGTTTTGAATAAAGATCGCTTTTAAAAAGTTATTTAGGAAGAGTTTTACTGCCATTGCAACACAATTTGGTCATATAAGTACTGAAAGTGTCACAATAGAGTGAAATGCAAAGAAAAGGAGGAGAGATAATGACAATAGATGTTTGATAGGAAAAAAGGTGCAAACCACACCAGAGTGCCCAGCAAGCATCCACTTGAAGAAACAGTCTTGTAGCAAAGGGGAAACGTAACAGTCACAAACAGAACAGAGAAAAGAAAGGAATTAGGACTTACTATAAGTTGTCCATTTTAAAAAAATGAAACGGGTCCATTAAAAAATTTTAAAAAGCTTTTTTTTTTAGTTTTAGCTTTAGTAGAGGTTTTACGGCACTCACAATTGCATAAGGTCATATGAGCTTTTTTAGAATAACTTTTGATTCCCTATGGACTTTGTCACTTGAGATTTTGAAACAAAGATACACTCCATTTGTCCCCAATCCAATGTTTGTTTAAAAAAAAAAATTGTAGCACCACATCAAAGGAACTTTTCTCAGGACAAATTAGCATTCTTACAGCAGAGTCTCACTTTCTCAATTTGTAAGTAAAAGTAAAGTTGTTCCCACATCTGATCTGGACATTGGGGATAGCGTTGTTAGTGAGACAACTTCCTGGGCTTTCGATAGATTGTGGTAGGATGGCCAGTTCCTTTCCACGCCGCCTTTACTTCCCCAACTCGAAATCAGGTACTCAATACTGCTGGGTGGGTAGGAGGGGGCAAAAAAAACCTTGTTCGAACCGAGGCTCGAACCCTGACTTTCCGCTTCAGAAACGAGCGCACTAACCGCTCCGCCACCGCACCCTCACCAGTTTGTAAGTAAATAATATAATTAACCTTGTTACAAAGTCTTAAGCATTCCCACGTAAAAGCTACTGTGACCATTTTTATTGCTCCTCACAACAAGGTGTTTATTTCGCGTATCCCTATAATACAAGGGACATGATTTATAAAGTGGAACTCGGATTCAACGAGGCCGCCGGGCCCGACCTAAAATCTCGTTGAATCCGAGTGTTCGTTATAGCAAACATGAGGTTTTGTGTATATAATTACAGGCACTGAGCAAGTAATGTATAAAGAGAAGTCACAAGTAGTGCCTGAAATGCCTGCATATTATGAGGTGTGTTTAAAAAAAAGACTGATTCGTTCAAATGCACACGCCTGTGTCATCTCGATTGTTTACCCCAAAGTTGTGTTGCTGTGTAGAGCCTAGCATACGCCAAATTTTGACTCCATAGACAAGCCCACAATTCATTACGTAGATCAACGTCAAGAGTAGCTTATCATTGTAATAATGATCAGTTGTCGAGGGGGAAAAAAGACTGACGCGTTTGTATCTGCAACGTTCAACGCCCGGACCGCTAGTGCCCCCCCTCCCCGACATGCACACAAAGCCACACGTGTGCAGGCCGCCCATCCGACCCCAACACACGCCAGAGTAGACATGTGCGCGAGCCAACAAAGCATGTATTGGTATGAAAAATAAGGCTGCTGATTGGTCCCATGCAATCGGCTAAGTGAATAATGGTTCACGATGCAGGTGCAATGGATGGTTTCCGGGAACAGATAAAGTTCGTTCTGGGAGAAAAATGAGCCAAGCCGCGTCTGTGGAGGTTGTTCATCCTGGAAGCGACCTCGTTGAATCCGAGCTCACTGATTTAAAAGCTCTTTGAATCCGGGTTATCTTTATTGATTTTAAAGAAGAAAAATGGGGAATCTATCTCATCTCGTTGAATCCTAGGAGTTCCACTGTACAAAACACGATTACAGGACACAATTGACACAGTAGACACCACACATGACATAAGTGACAGTTGACACAGTACATGACATAGGTGACACAGTTGACACCACACATGACATAAGTCACACAACACATGACATAAGTGACACAGTTGACACAGTACATGACATAAGTGACACAGTTGACACCACACATGACATAAGTGACACAGTTGACACCACACATGACATAAGTGACACAGTTGACACAACACATGACATAAGTGACACAGTTGACACAACAAATGACATAAGTGACACAGTTGACACAGCACATGACCCACGTGAAACAGCCCGCACAACACATGACATAGTTGACACAACACATGACACACGTGAAACAGTCCACACAACACACGACATAAGTGACACAGTTGGCACAACACATGACACAACACACATTTACACAAGTGACACAATCGACACGCCACAAGTCACACCATGGACACAACATACGTGGTAGTTCCCCGAGGCCAGGCAAGATTTGCCACAGATGTACTTGAGCACCAAGACTTCCTCCGCCTCTACTTCCACAGCCTGCACACACAGAGGAATGAACAGAGAAACAAGAATTTGCTTTATCATAAGATAAGATAAGACTTCATTATCCTCCTCCGTCTCCACTTCTACAGCCTGCACACACACAGAAGAATGAACAAGAGAGAAACAAGAATTTACTTCTTTTAGTTTAGTTTCAGTAGAAGTTTTTACGGCGCTTCATCATTATACATTTTACATGTATACACATGCAGATCCGCTTCTCTAAGAATCAGGGATCTCGGGGGGGGGGGATTGGGCCTTTAAAAAAAAATTTAGTTTTAGTAGAGGCTTTAAGGCGTTCGCAACTGCATAAGTTCATATGAGCGCCGGAAGATTAGAGGAGTTACAAAAGAGTAACAAACATAAAAAAAGAGGAGGGGAGAAGAAGACAATAGATGTTTGATAGGAAAGAAGAAGCAAAGCTCACCAGAGCACCTGCCAACACCTCACTCTGCCACTTTAAGAATCAGGACCTCGCGGGAAAAAATCGGGATCAAAGACAAATCACCAGGGTGACTGCCAAGCTGACTTTAAAATTTTCCAAAGGTGTCCAGAAATATATGATATGTAGGGTTAAATATATATCTATATCTATATTATATATATATAACCGTAAATATACGAACTTATACAAGAAGTTAGGAGGCAATGATACTGATCCTTTGCTACAGAATATCGATACGCCATTATTGTAACTTTTTTAGGGATTGAGTAAATATAATGAGGTAGAAAGTACAGAACTTTCAGAAAGTATGGACTTCCATAAAAACATGAAAGATTGTAATAACTGTAGAATGGGCCATTTGTTTTTTCTTTTAATCTCAGCACCCGTGACAAATTCTGTCATTTTGACACTTTTATTGGTATGGTGGTAGAACAGGTCCAAAATCAGTAACTATCAGACAAATTAGTGCAAACAGGCAGCCCTATTTTGGATCAATTAAGAAGCAGGCTGCAAGTCTTAGTTTTAGAAAGACTTTTACAGCACTTGCAACACAATAAGGTCATATTAGTGCCAAAGATGAGAGGTGTTACAAGAGAGCAACAAACACAAAAAAGGAGGGGAGATAGAGATGATTGATTTTTTATAGGAAAGAAGGAGTAAACCACACCAGAGCACCCGCCAACCATCCACGGCGGCAATTATTGGGAACCTACTGACATATTTTAGATAAATTAGGAAACATGCTGCAACCACCCAGCAACTATTAGGCATGCATCAATACAATTTAGATAATTAAGAGGCGGGCTTCTTCCATCCAGCCATTTTTAGACCCCTTCTGACACAATTTAGATTATTGAAGCCATCGAGGGTCTACTCGTGCCGAAGGAAATACAGTAGAGATGGGGCGAGCGGACGGACGGGTTCGTTACTCGCGGACTCAATCAGAGCGAACGGGTAACGGACGGCCATGAGAGCGAACTGCGAACCTCAAGACAGTTCGTTTTTTGGGTCCGCTCCACAATTTGACTCTCTCAGCGAGCGGACTGCGGACCTCAAGCCTCGAGTCAGTTCGTTGTTTGGGTCCGCCCCACAATTTTATTCACTGGGCGGGCGGGCGAACGGACGAACTCTAGCAGACGAGATTAGACCCGTCGTCTATTGTTGGTTAATTAGGTCCAATGTTTCAAACCACTAGCGGTGCCACAGGGAGTGAGAGAGGCTGGCGACGTAGTACTATGTGTGTAACCTTTCACCTCGTGCGTGTACGTTCCAATTATCTCTAAGGCCGGGGGGTGGGGGGCGGAAATTTCCGCCATGTGACGCCTAGCTACAATGTGTGGTAGGAGGGTGTTCGTTATAGCAAACATGAGGTTTTGTGTATATAATTACAGGCACTGAGCAAGTAATGTATAAAGAGAAGTCACAAGTAGTGCCTGAAATGCCTGCATATTATGAGGTGTGTTTAAAAAAAAGACTGATTCGTTCAAATGCACACGCCTGTGTCATCTCGATTGTTTACCCCAAAGTTGTGTTGCTGTGTAGAGCCTAGCATACGCCAAATTTTGACTCCATAGACAAGCCCACAATTCATTACGTAGATCAACGTCAAGAGTAGCTTATCATTGTAATAATGATCAGTTGTCGAGGGGGAAAAA